GATATGCGTTTAAAAAGCAAATTATGCAAAATTCCAAGTGGAAAATTCCAAGCAACAAAACCCGTGCGTACTATGATGTGCGACCTATGAAATGCGACGTACGACTGATCGGACTGCCGACTGATTCAGTCTTTGCGTGTCCTTATTATTTTTCATCAAAAGAGTATTTTAGCTATTGGAAAAATGGCCATGTTTCTTGAATGAAGTACTTCCTAGCGTATTTTTCTTATTATCTTAAAACAAAGTAACTTGCACTTGGTTGAATGAAAATAGATTCAAAAGAAATTTTCGAATTTTTCAAGAGAACCAGTTGTCTTCAGTTCAGAGAGTTTTTTTCAGGCAAAATATTTTCTTTTACGCTAAAATAAATTCTCTTGCCACTAATTTTTTTTTTTTCAAGAACGATGACGACTTTAGTTCAAGTCTATCTTTTTTATCAGTGTTCTAACACTGGACGCGCGTTTCGCTAACTATGTTAGCATCACCAGCAGATGATTAAAATTATAGAATAGGTGTTGTTGTTTTATAACTATCAAATATAAAATTCATATTCAATTACATACAGTAGGACTTTAGATTTTAGTTGAGTTATATTTTCAGTTAATTTTAGACAAACGCACGCCAAATATTAAGTTCTAACCTATGGTTCTGACGTAAAATTTGACATTGGCGTTAGTTTTTGTTTTAAAATAGATTCAAAATGATATTTTGAATGGATGGAATCTATGGATAGAATGCTATACCTGTTGCACACAGGTATCTGTCAAATTTGACATTTAAAATAATGACAAAATTTTAAAGGCTGTACTTAAACTGCCGTTAAACGGTAGCTTACTAAAATGCCGTTAATAGGTATGACGTCGCTGATGTGACGCACTTGACGGCTTTATAAAATATAGAAATTTTATAAGGACTAACCAACGCTATCCACCCCACCAAATAACCAACTTAACCAACGCAACTAACCTCGACACTGATAAAAAATATAAAAAACAAATATAAATTAGTAAAAATCAACCAACCCCACCAAATAACCAACTAACCAAAGAATTAACACCCTCCAAATAACCACGCTAACCAACCCGCCAAATAGCTAAGCCAATCCAACTAAAAAGAATGAAACCAATGCAATAAGATCACGCTATAAGCAAAAAAAATATAAAAAAGTCTTGGTCGACGTGAGATTTGAACCACGGACCATTCGCTTACGAAGCAAGTTTCAAGTTTCAAGTTTCAAAGCATTTATTGAGAATGTCTCCTTAAATACAATAAAAAGGTGCTATATACAATATATACAATAAATAAAATAACATGATAAGATGGTATGTTGTTCTTCTGACGAAGCACTCAACCACCTAAGCGAACCCTGTGAACAGGGGGGCCGGTGTTTGCCCTAGGTAGCTCTTTTATTGACCGGGCGAGGACTGCATGTTCCGCTTTTGCTCACACATGCATTGGGAGTATAGAGGCAATGCCGACGTGTTTTACTTTAATAAATATGTTGGTTACTTAAATCAGATCCGTAGAATCGGAGGAAAAAACTCTTAAAAAACCTTCGTAATATCTAGTAGATTTTCGGTAATTTTATTGTTTGTATGTTTAGTTGTGATGTAGTAGTCTTCAGTCTATTCTGCAACTGATGTACATATTTTATGTACACGGTTGAGAGTAGTCTGAACTTAGGAGTGATTGATGTTACGTTTTGTGTGTCTTTGTGGTCAGCGTCTATAATTATTTAATTTATGCTCTGAGTCTGAGAACATTACTCACTATATATAGGTAGCCGTGAGTATATCGGCAAATGTTTCATATTTATCACATTGTGCTGCCTTTGTTGCGTTATATTTGATGTTAGGGGCGAATTATAAATTTGCGTCTTGTAAAATTTTTGTCCTATTGTGTCGATAAATTCGTTTATTGTCTCTAATCCAGTATTTTCATGTAAATGTGCTATACGAGTATATCTGTCATATCCGGTGATTTTCCTTAGTGTCTTATTTTGTAACCGTTGTAGTCGCAGTCTTTGTTTATTTGAGATCTTAATCCATACTGGGCATGCGTATGTTAGGGTAGGCCTGAGTATAGTTTTATAAAGCAATATTTTATTATCTACCGTCATATGCGATCTAGGTGACAGTAAAGAATACAATTTCTGTAATGCTGCGTAAGTCTGTTGTATCCTATAGGTCGTATTTGATACGAATGACAGCCGCTTGTCAATTTTAATACCAAGATACTTGACACAGGATTTTGGCTGAATAGCTGTACCATCAATTTTTAATGGTTCATGGACAGTTACGTTACTAATTTTCTGTGTAAGAAGTAATTGTTCCGTTTTTGTAGAATTGATCTTTATTTTCCACTTTTCGAAATAAGGCAATAGTCTCAATAGGTGATACTTCAGTTGTTTATTGGCAATATTCACGTAGTAAGAGGAAGCATATAAAACAGTGTCATCCGCGTATTGTCCAAAGTTTGTATTTGGATATCGAGGAATGTCAGCGGTATATAAAGAGTATAGTAGTGGTGCGATTACTGTGCCCTGTGGGACACCAGCGCGTATAAGTTTTTGAGAAGACAGAGAATTGCCCACCCTCACTCGGAAGTAACGACCTTGGAGATAGGATTTTATTAGATTTACAATATGTAGGGGATAATTATGTATAAAGAGGAGCTTGTAAAGAAGACCTTCATGCCAGACAGCATCGAAGGCCTTCTCCACATCCAGAAATAAGGCTAGAGTAGACTGCTGTCGCTGGAATCCCGTCTGTGCATCGTGTATCATTCTTGCAGCAAGTAGAGTGGTGTTGTGTCCGCGTCTGAAACCGAATTGTTCACTAGGCAATGTTTTGTTATTTTCTGCGTGTTTTGTTAGTTCGTGTAATATAAGTTTTTCAGATACTTTTGCCATTGTATTCAATAATGCTATAGGCCTGTAGCTTTCTGGGTTCGTTGCATCTTTTCCTACTTTATATATTGGTATTACTATTGCTTCTTTCCAGGCAATTGGAAAGTATTGGATTCGGACAATAGCATTAATCAAATACAGCAACTGCACTTGTGATTTTCTCGGCAATTTTTTAAGAAGTAGGTAGCTAATACCATCTGGACCAGGCGCTTTATTGTTTGAAAAGCTCCTGATTGCCATTTTTAAGTTTTTGTGTGATATATATGTGTCGCGTTTTGCTTGTTCATCCATTTCCGATCTAGGTAGATTAGTAATGCATTCATCAATATCTCGCTGTTCGTTAGTTGTACTTGGTCGTGGAGTGTGAACTGTTGCAAACTGCTTAGCGAACATCTCGGATTTCTGTTTGTCGTCAAAAGCTTCTATGTTATTGTCTTCCAATGTCGGAATAGTCCGAAATGTTTTAGTCAGTATTTTTGTCATTTTCCATAGAGAGTTGTCTCTTATATTTAGGCCTTGTAATTTAGTTTGCCAGATATTATTTTTGTGTTGAGCTATTTTTAGAGTAATCTGTCCGGACGATAGATTGAATTGCTCTCTATCTTGTGGTCGTCTATGTCTTTGCCATATTTTTCTTAGGTTGTTCCGCGCTTTGATTAGGTCCGTTATTTCTTCAGGTAAGACGATCTCTAGGCCTGATACGCACTTTCTTACCAATGACAGCTCGAGCGTTTTGAATTAAGTCAGTAAAACGCTCCACCTCTCTATTGATGTCCTGCGCTGTGCTTATATTATTGTTTATTTGAAGATTTTGATTGATAAGATTTTTATATTGATCCCAGTTGGCATTATTGTATGTCCATGCTAGGTTGGTATAGTTTTGTATGTTAATATTACTTGATATTGAGAAAAATACCGGAAGATGATCGGAGTTAAGTTCATTTTTTGTGGATAGTTGGATATATTGAGTAATATTTTTATTTAATACTATATCTATATACGAAATATCTTAAAATATATAATAAGCAAGATATTAAAAATATCTTGCTTACGAAGCGATAGTCTCAGCCACTGACCCACAGGTGCTCTTGCAGAATGCTTAAGGCTAGGCATTACTTTCCGCCGACATGAACGACGTCACAATATCTATTAACGGCATTTTAGTAGGCTACCGTTTAACGGCTGTTTAAGTACATCGAATTTTAAACTTAACCATAACTTAACAAATATCATAGATAAAGGAAATAAATTTAGATTGGAATGCTCGGCTTCCTACTAAAACGTATAATCGTTTTGGGTCGCATACGTTGCTAAGAACAACTGCAAATAAAAACAGGAAGAATTTTCTCTTGTGGAAGTCAAAATATTCAAAGATTATAAAATCTTTCAAAATTAAACCGCTCTCATTGAAAAAATGTCGAAAAGTGTTTAAAGCGTCCATTTTCACAGTAATTATTGCTATATACTTTGTAAGTTTAATTTAAATTGTATTTACCGAAACCCCTGATAATTGTGAAAAATGCGCATTAATAAACTGGGATGTGTGATTCACAGTTCACACACCATCGCAAACCAACGTGGCATAACGTTGGTTTCAAATGTTCCATAGGTATTTCATACATGTCCTGTGTTTTATTTATAAAATTAAAAGAAAATAATAAATTTGAATAAATAATATATTTGGCGACATAATTCCGGAAAAATCCGAGCTGCTCCGAAATTATCAAGAGCTTTGAGTCGCGACCGTTGCAAGAATAGCGCCAAATAGTATTTACATTGTCCTTATGGGCACTTTTCAATCTAAACTTGTTTCATTTATCTATGAAAATGGGTTTATTGACAAAATTTTAAACTGAACAAATATGAACTAATAACAAACACGTTTAGGCTTCGAAGTTTTCCTAGACAACAGTCTAGTCTATCGAAATTCGTCTCTGTGGTATTTAGGGTAAATACATTTTCTTACTTTGAACCTATAAACATGAAGCTAAAATATGCTCTACAAAATTGCCATTTTCCTCTTATACAATTGTATTGAAAGAGACGGTCGGTACAACCACGCCCGTTTGTACTACACTATCTATTCTAACAGAGTTCTCAGATCGCAGAGAAGCGAAGATGTGGACTCGATGGATAAGGAAGGCGGAGTGGCGCCGGCGGGCAACGTCCGGCACAAGATCGTCGTGATGGGTGCGGCCAAAGTGGGCAAATCCTCCATCATCTCACAGTTCCTCTACGGCACGTTCTCGTCCAAATACAAGAGGACAGTGGAAGAGATGCATCACGGTGATTTCAACGTACAAGGGGTAAGTACAACGTTCTTTTTTAAATACAAATTTTACGTACAAATTCACCAACATGCGAGAAATAATTATCAATACTATTCTACGCCTTCCTGCGTTCTTGATAGGGGTCGTCATTTTCTTGACAACTTCTTGATCTTGTCTTGATTTCAAGACAAGATCAAGACAAGAAATGCTTTTTGGGTTTCAAGACAGGTTTTCTTGACAAGAAATCAAGAAAATCTTGAAATTTCTTGAAAATAAAAAAAAGAAATACTCATTTACTTAGGTATTTGTACGAATGTTGTTGAAATATTATATGAATATCCATTAATTGGTGGATAAAAAAATTATTAAGCAAGAAATATTTGTACGAAGCGGCACTTTGTCGGATGTCCAATGTCCAAAGTTGACATAAGTAGGTACGTCCAATACTGTGGGCCAAATTAAATTGGACCCTTTTTTAATGCCTAATAATTTTTTAATTTTTAAATGTTTTTTTATAATTTTTTGGATATGTTATTGCCTACGATATTAGAATAAAAAAAACTTTGCAAAGCGGGTCTACTTCAGTGGCATACAGACTTTTTGAATTAACGTAAAACTTTTAAAATAAAAAAAATAATACATTTTAATGTACGCCACTGAAGTAGAGTAGCTTTTATCATTGTTGTTTTGACTGTTTTTATCTGTAGTAGTATTATCACCGTCACTATACTGTCAAAGTCACTAATTAAACTTCTACGTCCAGGTGGTAGGTATTCTGAACCAGATTCAATTACGAATGGCTCAAATTTGCTGCTCAACGAACCATCACAATCACTCATTTTAATATTAGATAATAATAATAATAATAATTAACAAAATTATGTAAATCCGATGATTTTGGCTACTGTACTATAATGAGCCCAAAGTTTTTGAATTTTTTGAAAATTAGATGCCTGACCCTCGATTTTAGGCATAAAGCATAAACATCACATTAACCAATCTCAACGCGACTTTTAAACGGGGGGTTCCGCTTTAATAAACGAATTTTAAAAGGGGGTTCCCATTTTATCAAGATATCAAGAAATTTCAAGATTTCTTGAATCAAGACAAGAAATCAACTCTCAAGAAATGGTCAAGACCAGATTTTTTTTTAATTCTTGAAAATATTTCAAGACAACACAAAAAATTGCTTGTCAAGACAAGATTTCTTGTCTTGCCGATCCCTAGTTCTTGAGCCGTCTTGTATACCAGATTGATTCAGCTTGAATGGGTACACCATTTTATACAGTTTTTCCTTCCTAGCATATACAGGGTGTCCCAGGCTGAGCGTGCATTAGAAGTTTCTAGAGAACTACAATATCTAGATCCGAGATTTTTTGCACATTATTGTTTTACAATGAGATCTATCGATTAAAAATATTTTCAATATGGCGGTACTTCCGGAAATACCGGAAGTTGGCAGCAACTTTCTTATTTCAAATGGCTACCTCTATTTTTTATTACATACTTAAATTACATACTCTGTAAGATTTTATGAATTTTGATATCAAACACTCTATACCTAACATTAACCGTTTTTGAGAAAAAAAATATTTAACATTTTTAGAGGAAAAAAACTGTCTGTCAAAAAAATCTGTATAACCTAAACGACAAATCTAGTGATTACCACAGCCACTGTCGCATAAAGAGAACACATGTGGCTCTCTATTTCAAAAATTAAATTGTTTGATTGTCATATAATATTGGCCGTAGCTGTCATGGAATCGAGAGATTAATAAATTATCATAAATCATTTTTTTCAAATGGAAACCCACTTTTTTTATTTCACTAGCGAAAAAGTTTTTTAATTCGTTACTTTTTGATTATACATATTCCTATACCTAAAATAAATCGTTTTTAAGTTATTTAATATTTAGTTTTAAAACGTATATTTTTCTGGTTTTTAACCAGTAGCCTATGACGTTAAACGTCAAGCCATGTAAAATTATATCTGGCCATGTCATATTGCCATTAGATATCACCAAAATACGAAACATATTTTTATAAATACACCTTATTGAGTTTTAGCACCAGTATTTATAACATACAAAATTCAAATAATTATTTTTTTGACAAAAGGAAATAAATTATCTGATGTTTTGACACTTAATGTCAAAGGAAACTAGATAAAATTAAGAAAAAATTGGGCTTTAAAACTAAATCTAAAATAACTTAAAAACAATTTATTTTAGGTATAGGAACATGTATCGTCAAAAAATGACGAAATAAAAAACCTTTTCACTAGTGAAATAAAAAAGGCTGTACTTAAACTGCCGTTAAACGGTAGCTTACTAAAATGCCGTTAATAGGTATGACGTCGTTAATGTGACGCACTTGACGGCTTTATGAAATATAGGAATTTTATAAGGACTAACCAACGCTATCCACCCCACCAAATAACCAACTTAACCAACGCAACTAACCTCGACACTGATAAAAAAAATTAAAAAACAAATATAAATTAGTAAAAACCAACCAACCCCACCAAATAAAGAACTAACCAATGAATTAACACCCTCCATATAACCACGCTAAACAACCCGCCAAATAACTAAACCAATCCAACCAAAAAGAGTGAAACCAATGCAATAAGATCACGCTATAAGCAAAAAAATATAAAAAAGTCTTGGTCAGCGTGAGATTTGAACCCCAGACCATTCGCTTACGAACCGATAGCCTCAGCCACGGAGTCACAGGTGCTCTTGCAATTGGTCTTATGACTAGGCATTACTTTCCGCCGACATGAACGACGTCACAATATCTATTAACGGCATTTTAGTAGGCTACCGTTTAACGGCTGTTTAAGTACATCGAATAAAAAAAGTGGGTTTCCATTTGAAAAAAATATTTATGATAATTTTTTAATCGTGCAATTCCATCAAAGCTACGGTCAATATTATATGACATTCGAACAATTTAATTTTTGAAATAGATATCCACATGTCTTCTCTTTATGTCACAGTGGCTGTGGTAATGACTAAATTTGTCGTTTAGGCTATACAGATTTTTTTGACAACCAGTTTTTTCCTCCAAAAATTTTAAATATTTTTTTTCTCAAAAACGATTAATGTTAGGTATAGAGTGTTTGATATCAAAATTCATAAAATTTTACATAGAATTTAAGTATGTAATAAAAAATGGGGGTACCTACTTACAATAAGGAAGCTTCTGTCAACATCCGGTGTTTCCGGAAGTGCCGCCATATTGAAAATATTTTTAATCGATAGATCTCGTTGTAAAACAATGATGTGCAAAAAATCTCCGATCTAGATATTGTAGTTCTCTAGAAACTTCTAATGCACGCTCAACCTGGAGAACACCCTGTATATATTAATCGATTTAAAACGTTCCACGTCTTCCGATGCCATCTCTCCGTGCCTGTCTGTCTCTCCATGCACCGTCTCCGAGAGATCTTTCCTCCATAAACGTGTCAATCCCTTTCTGTCAACTTCTTCTCGGTCTACCCGGTTTTCTTCTTCCTGCAGGTTTCCAGTTTATAATTTGCTTTGGGATTCTTATTTCTGCCATTCTTTGGACATGCCTGTACCATATGAGTTGACTGTTTTTTATCTCGCCCACTATTGTAGGTTTAACTTCCATAATCTCTCTTATGCGTTTATTAGTTATTCGTTCGAGTCTTGATTTGCCTGCTGACCTTCTCCAAAAAGCCATCTCTGTAGCTTCCAGCATTCGTTTTGTTGTTTTCTTAATTGGCCACACTTCACAGCTGTACGTGGTTATACTCTTGAGTGTTTTGTTCCTGTTGTTTATGCTTCTGTCCCACAGTATCCCATTTAATACCGTGATAGCATTCCTTCCAAGTTGGTTTCGTTCTTTAATTGCTGTATCCAAGAGTCCATCATTTGTGATTTGCATACCCAAATATTTGTATTTTGTGCAGCACTTAATTTTCTTCCCTTCTTCTACTATTAGATCTTGTTGTTCTTCTAGTATACTTATATTATTTTTTTTTTTCAAAGCTGTATCTCTTATAGCTGTATCTCTTATAGCTCTTATATCTCTTATAGCAGTATCTCTTATAGCTCTTGCCTCTCTTGCATGTTTTGTCTTCTATATCTCTTCGATTAGCTTCTCGTTTTCAGCATTATTCCTCTGGCTTATGTGCTGCTGACCATGCTATGAACAGAAAATATTAAACTATTAATTTTGTCTCGACTGTTTCAATATTCAATAGAAAAATGTAAAATTTTCGAAACACTAAATTAATCATAATTTGATTAATGCCAAAATTTAAAAAAATATTTAACTGGTTTATTATAAAGAATTATCTCAAAGTCCTCTATTTCGCAAAGCTTTTATATTTAATCTAAAATTTAATACTTAAAAAAGCTGTCCATAAAGCAGCCAATATAAAATTGTAAATAAAGCATTCAATAAAAATTCGAGTTTCTATTTATTCCACATTTATTTTTGTTTATTTAAACAATCAAAAATATATTTATGCAATGATTCTACAAGATAAACTGTGAAATTTGGTGCTTGCTTTTGTGTACGAAAATTTTTATGAAGAAAAAAAAAAAGATATGACAAAAAAATAAATAAAATAAATCTTACTAATCTTAACTAAAATATGTACTGATGATTTGGTTTGGTTTGGTTGTCGATGATACGGTAGTTTCTCTGGCTAAAACCAATATTAAATTAAAATATTTAGGAAAATTGAAAAATAACTGTAACAAAACTTAAAAAGCAAAATTTTTTTTTTCAAGAAAAAATATCCATTAAAAAAGTTATAATTACTTATATACTAAATTTTGTTTGAAATAGTTAAACATCATATAATTTTAAGAGCAAGTTATAGTCCTTTATTATTAATAATTGTAAAACTGTAAATGAAAAGCTAGCCTACTTTTTACCTCACTTTTTAATTAAGTTTTAATTGTGAATTATTTCTTTGAAGTAGAAAACTTTTATCCATTTTTTCCGTTACTTTTTGTTATTTTGCTTTGAGGTTTCTACTTTGAAGCGGTTTTGCT